ACAATTGTAGGCTATCCTTCATGGATAACCAAGTTATAAAGGAAGGGAATAAATAAGGTGGAAACATCAATAGGAAACCCCAAAATGAGGACTTCGTCCTTAATTTCTATTCTAATCATGATTATGGCATTAAAGTGGGGATTATGGAATCAATTTAAATTTGCCTCGGGCCCACGTAAATCACCGGGACCAACGGCTAGAATGAGTAAGAGGCATTTTCGGTTATAAAAATTATATATTAGGACTAAATGCCAATTTTTTAACAATATTAACACAATAGAATGAGAGCAAACAGTTCGTTAGGTCAAAACAGGGTTTGGACAAATCTTCTAGCTTTGTAGTGCTGCTGTCCTATGAGCTTTCGAAAAGGATAGGCGAACAGTTGAGTAAATTGGGCATTACAACCATATGTAGAGAGAAGCTAATCCGCTTCTCAGTTGTGTCTACTTTTCAAGAAATGGCAACCCTCTCTGCAGATCAGATTGCGATAAGATTGCTACCCATGAGGTAGGGTCTATTCAAGGGAGAGCAAAGAGAACATCCGAACACAAACTGTCTGTAAAAAAAGCCAATAGTAGCTGATATGCGGCCAGCACAGGATACCAAATAGATTGGTCTGAGGCCTGATGCTTTTCTGAATAATAAGACTTCAAGGCATAGCTAAAGATTGTGGACTTGATTAAAATAAACCAACTAAACAGCTCCCCCTGAATAGTACTAACAAATGTAGGAAATAAATCTGTAATTGTCTCGAGATATCGAAAAGGATTAAGGCGTTTGAAAGAGGAGGCCTAATTAATCTGGTGTCATGCCTATCGCATCTATACAATGCGCATGAAACACTCTCGACAGAGTCGACATTGCAGGATTAAACTTTAGCTTAGTCAGGCAAAGAAAACATCTTGTCATCATCCACATCTCCTTGATACACCAATTTTATTGTACTTTATTATTTAGAGTGAGCATGAAATAGACTTTTAACATCATTTGATGCTTCATTAAGTTTGCACAATATGACCATAACAGGATTTCAGCTGGCCACCTTTCTTGACTTTGTGTCCCGGTAAATGTACGTAAAAATTTATTCCCGGCAAACAAGTGCTCAAATCTATGTAGCACTAATGTGTTGCAAGGACTGTTTTGCGAAAATAAACTATAGAGAAATCATCCTGCGGTTTACTGTTCGACCAATTTATGAATTCCGCCAACTAAGTTTTTCAGACTTATACACTTCTTATGGGATTTTATGAAGCCAAGTCTCTCTTCATATCTTGTAATTCTTCAGTATTGCCCTAGAGGAACTTAGCCACAGAGACTATACTTATTTTGAAATGGCGATTATTTGTTCGTTGAGAAAGTGCCTTCCTTCTCGGTTATGTATATTCACTAGTCTGTACCATTCGACACCACTCCTGAAACCACTTTCAAAAAGTTGGAATCCAGTGTATAATGTAGCAATCTAATTGAGAGGCAAGTCTTGTCTCTTTGACGAGTTTATAGCTTAGTGCGGAGAATGGCAAAACTTACTGATTATGCCGACTACGATGCCGGCGAAAGGTTTGAGAAAGTGTACCAAGTCCACTGTCAGATGCTGGGAATCATGACAGCTACTATGACAAACGACTTCGGACTAGGTACGTTCTACTAAGTCGCCCTTACAACAAGACCAAATTGCGACAACGAGGTCAACCCACTTATATAAATCGAAAGGAGACTGGACCATACCAAAGGCCACAACATCTTGGTCTTCATATCTTCTAAAACACATGGTTTCTTGATATATATTCCTAAGATGCTCGTTGATTTTATACAATGTTGTTCAATAAGGGTTGGTCAACAATAGATTTAGGGCTTAATACCTTCTGGTCGTTATGGTAATTATCAGACATTCTTAAATCTGATGATTCATATTTTTAAGGAACGGCTGATAATTGAGCTTTTATATTTGGATAGTATGGAAAGTCATACAATCTGAATATAAGCTCCGCTAGGTTTGATGAAACTGGAAGCACCGATGATCAAACTGAGGCTTGACAACTGACATCATCCCTTCCCATCTGCAGCCCTCTTCACTTGGCCCCCTCAGCTTTGTGCCTAATTGAGCCCTCATAAGTAGCTGTTCTACCTCTAGAATCCCACATTCTTGGATATTTTGACGCGAGCTATAGTGAGCGGTTTAGAGTTATGGCTATGACTTGGTGTCTTGTGGCGTATTTCTTCTCTATTCTTGGCGTTTATTGAAATTATTTGAGTTGACCACATGGCAACTGGGGAAAATCGTACCTGTTGCTTGTTATCACACTTTCAGTCTAGGCTCGATCCATTCCTATTACCGTCCAGCTACCCGTCCAATATAAGGATATAACCTATTCTTGATACAAAACGGATGTAAAAATAGTGGCAGTCCCAAGAATATCACTAATAATAAACTAAATCGACTCTGAAGGGAAGGTAACAGGCTTATTTCGGATAAAAATTAATTTTGATTTCCATTCGTGAGACATCGTCATTATGCAACCGAGCAACCGGAGACACAATGAACTTGCCGACACAACATCCAACAATATTCGTGCTCTTACCATATAAAGCAAAAGCGCATAAGGTATAATGCTCAAGTAGCCATAGTCTAGGAAGATAGAGTAAACAAAATGTGCGAATAGGGAGAGGACGCAAATCGAGAAAACTAGTGGAATAACTGGAAATATCCTCGTCTTATTATTGAGAATGATTAAACTTTTTCGACCGATACTTGACATTTTCTACCACGCTCAGGTTTATTTGAAGGTGTCAGAATGTTTCTATGTATATGTAATCAAAAGATAGGTCTTAAAGAACCTCCGATTGAATTCATTTCATTGTACTTTCTAGTATGTGCGAAAAAATAGATGGAAGCAATTATCAAATTTGCTTCATTGGAAAGAAAGAAGGATGGCCTTGTA